CAACAAAATTATGATACATTTTCGATGGACCTTGATTTAATCATTAATTCAATCAGTGGTCTATATTTTCTAATCGATCGAGTAAAGAATTTTCGAAACTATTTTGTTCAATCAACCATTCATTCATCAGTAATAATTTATAATTGCCTATGATTGACTGAGAAATTGTTGTTAATATGTTATTTTGCTTTTCTAAAATTGATAAATTATCTATATTAGAAGAAAATTTTCTATTTTTTAGTATTTAGATGAGTTTTATCTTGATTGAATATTTTATAGAAATTTTCAATAACTAAAATTTCATGCTTCATATGCTATACATCTCTAGATATTTCAATATTCTGTAATTTCTAAGTATGTTGAGATAGACAGTTTAATAAACTATGACAAGATTCAGAAAAATATTGTTAAAGTCCGATCTCATTAAAGTTTGACGTAAGCATTGCAAATAGGATTAGAGAGAGAGTGAAAATAAGTTGTCATGAAAAAGAAAAGTATGACTTGATATATTTTTGTATTTACTTCGAATACATTCTGAATTTTATTTCTCAAGAAAAACAACATTATAGTTTTTATCAAGAAATACGCATGATGAAGAATAAGAGTAGAGGTTTTTTTTTCTATTTTAAATACTTCATATTGAAGTACTGAAATATTGATTCAATTACTTCATGTTTTTATATACTTCAATGAACTTTTATGCGTTTTATGTATATAAGAGTATCGAATGGAATCTATTTTGAGAGTAGAAAAATTATTTATTCTTTATTTTAATTGATTTTGAACAAATCATTTTCTATCAAAATTTCTTTTTCTGTTTCTAGAAATCGATCCTTGGATTATAATATAATTTATTTTTATCTTGCTTTTTTAATGATTTGCTACTGATTAGTTATTATAAACAATATTTGTAAGAAATAGAAGTTTCGAATGATCGAGAAAATGTATGATTTGTTTATATGTATGGTTAAATATTCACATATTTTGAATATTGAAATAGAATATCATAAATTATTAGTAATGAAATAGTTTCATTTCCGATTTTATTTTATTTTTTTTTTTTGATATATAACACTCCGGTAATTTTTCTATTGCGTCTGGTTTTTGTTGTTCGAGTATTCTTGTTTATGTCTTTTATTCATTTTTTACCTATTCTTTTTCTCTCTTCATGAAAAATTCATATATATATGAAATAGAAACAGTTGATGGAGATTGATTTAATATTATCTATGAAATTTCAATAAAATAGTTAATTTTTATTTTGTTACCATTGTCAAATTGTGTATTTACAGTGACTATCAAAATAACCCAACCAGTAGATAATTTTATTTTGTGTATATTTCAATAACTAGATGAACTAGAATGATCTGATTTTCATCAATTTACAGCCTATAACTTTCTAGTATATTAGCAAAAAAAATCCAGGTCAATCCATTGATCTATTTAGTTTTTATTGACGATAGAAATACAGCATGTCAGTTTTCATGTTTTTAGAATTATTCAACTTCAATTTATATTTTTGGAAACTGCTAAGTGTCTGTTTCTATGTTAAAATAATTTTTTATGAGACATGACTCAATTGAACAAATTATACTTTACATAAGAAGTACTTGTTATTGTAATTTTCTTTTGAGTATATTTTTAAAAATAATATCTTTTTTTAGTCTCTAATGAAAATTTTAAACAACAAGGCGATAGAACACTTTTTCTTTTATGTGATATTTAGACAATTTATTGTTCAATATAGCATTAATAAGAGTACTATAAATTGCATGAATTATTCTATTTGAATAGATATTTCATGTTGAAAAATTGTGTTAGTCATCTTCTATGTATACACACTAATCATAGATAAATCTTGTTGTACAGTCTCCTTCACGCATTGAAGGATATGTAAAAAATACTTTAAAAAGCAAAGATTTCTAGAGAATCTTTTTCTATACAAAACTCGGATATTTGAAATAAAAATTGATTATATTACTTAAGTTATAAATAGCAAGAATAAGAAGTCTATTGTAGTCTCAACAGTGCAGAACTCATTAAATACATAGCTAATTGTTACGTGTCACATCTATGTAGATATAAAATGAAATTTAGAACAACATATATGTTAAGTTTCATTTGATACATCACTGTTTGATAAAATATATTTTCATTCTGTAGCTGAGACTACGGTAAGCTTTTTATCCCTGTTATATATAACTTAAGTAATATAATCAGCTTTGACTTCAATTATAAAAGTTTTATATAGAAAAAGATTTCCTACAAATTCATTTTTTTAAGACAATTTTTTATACGTCTTTCAATATGCGAATGAGATCATACAAGAAGAGTTTCCTATGACTAGTATATACATAGGAGATGATTAACACAATTTTTCCACATGAAATATCTATTCAAATAGAATAATTCATGTAATTTATAGTTCTCCTATTAATGCTATATTGAATAATAAATGAAATAAACATCATATGAAAAGAAAAATATCTTTTATTGCCTTGTTGTTAAAAATTTCTATTATAGGTGAAAAAGACATTGTTTTTAAAAATATACTCAAAAGAAGATTACGATAACAAGTGCTTCTTACGCAGAGCATAATTTATTTCATTGAGTCACGTCTCATAAACAGTTATTTCAACGTAGGATAGGCACGTAGTAGTTTTCAAAAATATGAAGTGAAGTTGGGTAATTTGACAAGGATGAAAACTGACATGCTGTGATTGTATCATCAATAAAAACTAAACAGATCAATGGATTGATCTGGAATTTTAAACTACTATACTAGAGGCTATGGGCTGTAATCCTATGAAAATTAAATCATTCTAGTTCATCTAGTTTTTAAGATATACGAAAAATAAAATAATCTACTAGTTGGATAATTTTGACAATCTAAAAACAGCAAGACAAAAGATCAATGTATATCATCTTTTGATTATGAAGAAATATTCATAATTAATTCTTATTAGGTATTCAATTATGTTTAAAGTCATTATTTATGTATGAAATATTCCGTAAAGTTAGTTGAATTATGTATTGCTAAATCAAATACAAATCTTTCATTATGATATATAGTTTGTTAATAGAATACTTTTATTTCATTAAGAAATTATTTATTTTTTTTAATAAATATGTAAAATTGTTCTAAATTCATTAATATTTAAATGACAACCGAAAGATTGTTTAAAAAGTGATTAAGAACATACATATTGTGATATGATTAAAGAAATTTAATTGATATTTTGTAAACTATAAAGATAATCGAAAAAAAACATCAGTGATACTAAAATGAAATTTTTGTTTTTAAATATCTATTTGTTTAAATGAAGTACCAATACTTAAATAGTAACAAGAAATTTTAAAAAAAATTATTATTTTAGAAAGAAATTAACGAACATTTTAAATATTTCAAATTTAAAGAAATAAAAAGAATTCTAGAAATAATTATTGAAAATAAACAAAAACTAGTTTATACTGATTGTGATGTCATCAGTAAAATAAAATTTATTGTTAATATTTCATTTTTATTTTGTAACAAACCAAAATTTATACTTGAATCTGTAACACTCATTGATCGACATGATACACATTGAAAGATAGAATTCCCAATGATTGATTGATTAACTCGCTATCCTCAGTTGGATCATTTTTGATTCATTCATAGAAATTATCTATTTCGAGTAAGAAAGCATCGACTCGACACAGTTCTCGAACATTTTCTAGTGTGTTCAAATAAGATGCGAATTCGTAAAAAAATTCAACTTCTTATCATCATTTCTTGGCTAAAATTTATGAGTTAGAAAACGATAGTTTTTTTCAAAAACGTGGAAAAAATCTAAATTTTATAGAGTAGATTTTTTAAAAACTTCTTGATTACAAATGCAAAAAACAGCATTTTTCCGGACAACTTGGATCATTTTTTGACTTGTTTATAGTAAGTAACATGTAAACTGATTTTTCTAGAATTATTTTGTTTTCGATATAAACTCATAATTAACGCGATTTTCATGCTAAAAACTTTACTAGAACAAATAGTCAGTCAAAAAGTATTCCACAGCAGTTTTTAAAATAATTTCTTACTGATAGAAGATAGAAAGCTGCAGCTTTTGTTGTGGCCTTTCTTTTGGACGAGGTCGTAACAATAGGAATGAGTGATTTCGAATTGAAGTCAGAACCAACTATTTCGACACGATTCTAAGTCTGAAAGACTTGATTATAATCTGAAAATAGTCGCTTTCGCAAATATCTAATCACATGTTATTTCCTGAAGGAACTCATTTTTCAAAAAAATAATTCCTGATAAGTAGGTATCCAGTTTTATATAGATGAAATAACAACCATAGCTGCGAAAAATTATAAAAAAATCAAATTAACAATAAATCCTATTTTTATTATCATTCACGACTGATGCACTATTTTTAGCCCATTCTGCTTCTCTGCAGTGACATGACTTCGCCAAAATTTGACCATATCAATGTCATAATTAGCATCTTCATAAGCCATTCTCATCATCGACTCAACACCAACTCTACATAATTAGTGTCAGAGGATCAAGAATTAAATAAAATTTAAAAAAAAAAGTGTTTTATCAAGAAAATAAATCCTGTGAAGTTATTCAATGTATCTTACAATCATTTATGATATTGATGAATCTTGGCCTAATGATATGCATGAATGTGTTGAATATTTTCATCGTATCCATTCATTTACGTCATATAAATAAATTATCAAGTCTGAAAATGATTGAACAACTTCGTATTATAGATGTATGTGGTTTTACTTTGTACGATATTCAATATGAACATATTACATTGATTAATGATGATTTGTAAAAGAGAAAATAAAATAACAAAATCGATTTGATTTTATTTTGATAAAAAATTTTTATTATTAAATAAATTGTATTTAAAGAAATTAAAATTAAAATTTTTAAAAAAATGAATAGATTCATTTTTCTTTTTTTTGTTTGTTTTTAGAAATAAGAAAAGCTTAAAAAAATAACTATGAATGCTATTCGTGTACAAATACATTTAAAATATATATTTGATGATAATTCATCAAAAAAATTTCATAATTTTTGGTATGCTTTTGAACCATCGAAATTATTAACTATTAATGATATAATTGAAGATATTCGATTAAATTATTTAAAAAATCATATATCTTTATCAATAGAAGAAAAAGATGAACAAACATTTATTTTTAATCTTAATGATTATCAATTATTACCATTTACTTCTAGTCAAATTTTACGTGATAATGATCAACTTACGTAAGAAAATTATTATTCTTTTACATCAATGATGAAATCGGTTCGGTTTAAAAAAAAAAATCGCGAACCGATTCCTTCTCTATTTCACATTATAAATCAACTGTCTATTTTGTTTTTAGTCTTATGTCATTAAAAACAAACAGTTTACATAAGAAATCATTGCAAGACTCAATTAATTTTAATTTGTCTTCATCAATTCCTATTGAACCACCACAAATTTTATCTGAAAACAATAATAAACGACAACGTATTGAATCTGTTGAACAAAATATTCCATCAGAATCAACAATAACAATTACAAAATCTATTGAAAATATCGATGAACAATCATGTAAAAAGAAAATAAAAACTAAATCAACTGAAAATCAAGTTATTGTTCCATCAATAATTCAATCTACACCTGAACCACCAGTAGTCCAACCAACACTCACACCTTTAAAAGAGCCCATTTTTGTAAAAGAAATTACTTCAGAACCACCATTATCACTTCCATCAACAAATGTTCGTATTCGAGAATTAAGATCAAAGACACCAACATGGAAATCACAAACACTACCAGTCAAAGACAATGCACAAGGTAATACAATTATAATAACTTATATTAATTATTTAATCATATAGATTATTATAGACAAGATGCATATTCGATTCGATTCTGATAGTGATGAAGAATTATTATCACAAACACAAACTACTAATGAAGAGAATAAACAAACAGAAAAATTAAGTGTCGTCAATGATATTAATAGTTCAATTCGTATAGATACTATTCCAACAACAATATCAACAGATATAACTCAAACAAAACCTACGAAAAAAACTATTGATCTTCTTTTTGAAATGAAACAACATAAAACTCTTCATGAAAGACAAGCAAAACAAATTCAACAACAATTTGGTAGAAAACGTGCACAACATAAAAAACGAGCATTAGATTATTTTTCAATGGCAAATTTTGTTGATCAAGCATTTGGCCTTGATAAAAGTGAACTTATAAAACAGATATCACCCAATGGATATCATTCATCATCTTCTACTCCACAAGTAAATAGAAAAAGTTTACTTTATAAAAAAAAAAAAAAAAAAGAAAGATTCTATTTTTCTAGACTTTACCAACATCATTTAATAAATTAGCTCGATTACCACTTGTTGCTGAAGCTATTGAAAACTATGATAAAATATATGATCTTTATCCACCAATTACACAATGTCCATCAATTCAAACACGTATTGCTTTTAAATTACTTGAATTAGGTGAAGATTTTTGTCCAAAAATGTCAACATTTAAAGAAGGACTAGTAGTTGATGTTAATCAAACTACCGGTGAATTAACTATTCAATTGGATAATCCATTTCAAACAGTTTTTGATCAACCATCAAAATTCTATGCACCAACAGAAGAACAATCAGAAGAAAGTTTAACAACAGTAAAATTTATTATTTTTTTTTCTATTATTTTTTTTATTAATAGATTTATATTTTTTAGGTTGTTCTACCATTTTCTGATCTCAATTCAGTTCGATTATTGTCAACATCGAATAAGGATATTACAATATAATATTCAAATAGATCTAGTCTTCTATCTAGCATATTTCATTTGTTTTTTTGTGTCTTTCGAAATAAACTTTGATAATAAAATCAAGTATATTTAATCTACTTAACTTTTCAATGGCTTGAAATCATTCTCAAAATTTATAATCCTTTCTCCTTTTTTGTTATCTTATATTGATTTTGACAATTGGCATCGTCATAAAACAAAAGAAGAATTCGAATATAATTATTTTCTCTAATTTTTAAATACATAACAACAAATATTATTTTGTATTTGTCATGATTCTTTTATCTTTATCATAAGAACTTCTTGATAATTCTAACAATAAACACAGGAAAAAAAACGATAACTAAGGTAACAGACCTGCACACATATGCATCTATGTTGATTTTATATTCTTTTATTCTCTTTTCTTTCACTACTTACAACATCTTTTTTTTACTTTTGTCGTTAGTTTCTTCTTTTCAACAAAAACATTCCTCTTACATTTTGTAACTAAAGACACATACGGTTACTCTTGAAGAAACAAAAAAAAAAAAAAAAAGAAAGTATTATGAAACCGGCACGAGTATAATCTGAAATGAAAGAGAACATAAGCAAAAAAAAAGTTTTTCTTTCTATTTTAAATGAAGAACTTGAGAATACACAATTTGAAACGAGAATGACAGCATATGGGAGAGACAGAGAAATTATTGTTGAAGGTAAGACGTAGCAAAAAAAACAAAAAAAAAAAAAGAAATGAACAATTCAACACCATCACTACATTCAACCATATAAATTTTTCATCATTGTTGTCGAGTTGAAATAAAATTTTTATGAAACCTCATCGCTTAGAAAGAACGAGTATAAAGAAGAAGGTTAATTACATTGGATTGAATAAAGAGAAAAAAAGAAAGAAGAGAAAAAAGAACAGCAACATTGAAATGTAAAATTAATTTTTCATTTTCTACTTAGATTATTATGTCAAAAAAATCTGAACTCATTTACTTGACAACGCTGATTGCGTGAGTGTAAAAAAATACAAAAAAAACATCGTATGGCTCGTGTAATTACTAATAATAATGGTAATACATCTTTACAAACTACAACACCATTTATGGATCGATTATCACATGCAGTTATTAAGGAAACATCAAAAAGTTTGTAAGTTTTCTTTTCTTCCATGATTTATTTTTTATAAATATGATTAAATTATATTGGTTTTTTTTTTCTTTAGAAGACATTATATTGATATTAAACGTCGTGAAAATGGTTTTATTCTAAACCCCAATTCTTCAGTATCGAATTCCATACCGCTTAAAGCAGTATGTTAGAAAAGAAAATTATGAATTAATTACAAGTTTTTTTTTTCTTTGTATCTATTATTAAGAGATTTATGTATGGAACAGCAAAAGAATATCCTCCACTTTATGGTTCTATTCATTCAGATAATGATCTTAAAGTTTATTTGCGTAGTTTTCAAAGACAACAAAAAAAACTTCATGTAATTTAAATTTTCTTTATTTTGTCTTTGTTTTATTTACTTTTATGCTTGTAATAAAAGTATATTAATATTTCTTAGTCATCATCAAGTGGTCCTGAAAAACAATTATGTCGTGATGAACTTAATTTTCATATGCGTACATACAAATATTCAGTAAATATATATAGAAAAAATGTTTATATTAAATTATTTCAACTAACATTTTTTAGCCAAGAGAAAATCAACAATTTGCTGAACTTCATTTAAGACCAACGATACGATCAAGTTCATCATGCAGTGGGTATGTTTGTTTCATTTTTTTGTTAATAGATATAATTGAATGTTGAATTTTTATTATAAATTAGAGCAACAAGTCTTGAATTTCAAAAACGAACATCAAAATCTGCATCAAAATTATTTCGTCATGAACAAGATCAATTAATTGATAATACAGCAAATATTCTTGCATCAATGATTAAAACACGTCGATCAATCTATGAAAAATATTTATTATCACAACAAGTAAAAAGATTCTATTGAAAACGGAAGAAAAAGAAAAGAATTTCATAATAAATTTAGACACCAGCAGTTTATGAATCACGAAATACAAACCCTTCTCCACGTCCATTAGAGTAAATATTGATTAAATAATCCAAAAAATTTTTTATTTATTTTTATTTATTTTCTTTTCTTTTTTTTATAGTGATCAATCTAATATACAAACAGTTCCACTAAATTTAACTAATTCATCATCAAATGTAAGACGACTTTCAACAACTATTCAACAACGTAAAAAATCAAAACGTAGAACTGCAAATGTTCATGCAAAAGCAGCATTTATTGTATGTATATAAAAATAGATTAATTGAAATTTAAAAAAATGTTTTTTGTTTGTTTTTATTCATTAAAGATTCATAAAGCAGAACTAATTAAACATGGTATTCTATGTGATTATAAAGTATCAGTTACAACAGGAAATTGTAATGGTGCTTCAACAAATGCACCTATTAGTATAAAACTTTATGGAACAAATGGATATGCAGGTTCTGTTGAACTTGTCGATTCTGAAACACATCGTGTACCATTTTTAAAAGATCAAATTGATGTATTTACTATTCAAACATATCATGTTGGAGAATTAGCTGGAATTACAATTGGACATAATCAAAAAGAAACGCGTAAGTAAATTTCAATCTTGATTCTTTTTTTTTTTTTGTCTAATTTATAGGGTTTATTTAATATTTTCTTTTCTTAGGATCAAGTTGGTTTTTAAGTAAAGTATCTGTTGATGATCCAATACGTAATATAACTTATAATATTTCGTGCAATGCTTGGTTATCGAGTAAATCCAATGATCACAAGACGATGCGTGATTTTGTAGTGGACTCAATGGTATCACATAAAAAACATATTGATATCAATGGTATGAAACAAAAAATGTCGAGTCTACTTTCTTTAGTATCTAATCTAGATAAGATTTCATAAGGATTACTGAAATCTCTTTTTTGAAATTAACTTAATTCTATTTTTATCGCAAGTAGTGGCGTAACCAGAAAATCGTGGGTGGGTGGGTGGGCGGTGCCTTACTCTCTTACAAAATGACTCTACTATGCTAGGACAACGAAAATGTCTATGTATTTATTTAATATTTTTTCCCATCGGCGTGTGGACAGAGATCTTGTGGGAGGGAGCACTGCCCACTCATACATCCTTTAGATACGCCACTACAAATATTGTTATAAAAAATTTACTTTTTAAAAATTATCGGTGAGTGGGCTGAGCCCACTTATGCTCTACCTTGGTTACGCCACTAATCGCAAGGAGCAAGAAGAAATATTTGAAATGATGTGCTTTCGAGGCTTATTGGATCTAGATAGTTTTTTTTCCTCATAAGATTAAATCTAAGAATAGTCATATGAAATTATTTAGAACATCAAAAAGAAATAGACAATCTATCGAATTATTCTACAACAACAACAACAACAACAACAACTGAAGATACAATAAGATCTAATATTACAAGTCCAAATCAAAATGATCAATTAATAGATCATAAACAGACTAAAAAACATAGAAAACAAAAACGTCTATCCATTGATCGAACGACAGTTGCTAAAACACGAACATCACTAACTGAAATTACAAATCATCATTCTCAACCGCAAACAACAACAGCAACAATTGATTCAGATTTTAATCGAGATGATCTTAGTTCTCCACCTGTACGAGAACGTCGAAATCGTTCACCAATTCTTTCTCGAACACCAGCTACAAATAGTGATAATGAAGATAATCCTGTTAATCATAGTCGTTCAACAACTCCAACATCATCATCATCAGTACCTGATCAATCGCATAGGCAATCTAATTTTGATCGTAATACAACACAAAGAACAAATGAAACAACCAATGATACACTTAAACATCATTCAACAGATCATGATCGACCACCAGCCCGACTGGAAAAACGTAATCCATCATTATCTGTATCACCCGAACGACCAATTAAAAGTAACGAACAAACAAATGAAAACGATGTATCGGACTTTTTCGACTAAACTTCTTTTTCTTTCGTCTATAATTTTCTTTAGAACAAATTTTTTTAATTCTCTCTCTCTCTCTCTCTCAGAAACACAAAACAAAGTTCTTTAACTAACTAAACAATAGCTCTTGTTTTATTTTTTATTGCCGGCTGGTATCCAAATTAACTTGCAATTAATCACTTCAATTGCCTTCTTCAACATTCAACACAACATAAACTTGCGATCTAGTGTTTGTATGTGAAGATGATCATAGCCAGACGTCTATATATATTTATCGATTAGAGAATCGCATATATATATATATATATATCTATATGAGCAAAACAAGACAAACAATTTGATATATAAACATTGAAAAGCAATTTTCCTTATTCGAAATCATAATACACATATATATACAAAAAAGATGATGTTCTCGTCTTTTTTTTTTTACTTAATTAATTGGTGAATGATCTTTAGTCTTTTGAGTATTGTCATCATTTTTTTTTTTTGTTGAATATTGCGTGTGACAATTGTCGCCTGTTGAATAGTAATAAGAGATAGATAGACAGATAGATATATGCACATTTATCCTAAAACACGAACATATTCAATCGATTGAAATACAAAATAAAATCAAATAAAGATCAAGGAAAATTTATTATTAATGTTTGAGAACTATTAAAAAATATTTAAACGAAAATTATTTTCTATTACTCCCTGAAGAAGAGAATTGAGTTTAATAATTAAATGGAACTTGACTAACAAAATGTGTTTACTAAAGTGTAACGAAATAGATAGATAAGATGTTTCTCCAAGGATTAGTCTTTCTAATTAAAATGACAGATAGATAGATAGATAGACAGACATTACAATCTGCCAAGTGTTTATTGACAGAACACACACACACACACACACATATACACACTTACATCATTGAAATATATTTATATAAGTAAAACGAATGAAGGCAAAAAAAAAGAGAGAGAGAGAGAGAAAGAAAGTATTTCGTTTATATTATTGTCGATTATTTGTACGATGATTACTATCATCTGATAATGATGATCTTGATGATAAACTTGAATGATTTGATGGTGTTGACCATGGTTGTAAATTTTGTAAAGCATTTAAAGATGCACTTGAATATATTAATGAATTATTATTATCAGTTGATATTTGATGAGATGATGGTGATGGTAATTTTGGACTTGATGATAATGAACGATGATGATGAGAATTTGTTAATATAAGACGATTTGCTGCTTGTCGTTCTTGTTCACGTTCTTCAGCTGTTTGTCGTCGCCATTTTGTTCGACGATTTTGAAACCATGTCTAGATCGGTTTTTTTGTTTTTATTGAATTAAAATTGAAAGTTATAAAAAGAAAGAAATTTTATATTACTTTTACTTGTGCATCTGTCATTTTTAAACCTTTAGCTAATTGAGAACGTTCGGATGATGCTAAATATTTTTGTCGATGAAAACGTTTTTCTAATTCCTATATGAGAATATTAAATAGATACAAAAAAAAAAAAGAAAACCAATCATATTTTGAATGAGCAAAAAAATAAATAAATATTTTATTTACAAGAATTTGTAAACGAGTAAATGATGTTCGAGGTTTTTTTCTTTTTGGTGGTGTTCGATTTTGATATGGATGACCTAAACGTCGTTGATTATGGAATACTTAAAATATGAATATATCAACTATACAATTTCGCGTGACTATTCTCATTAAAAGAAAAAAAGAATGTCAATAGAAATTAACTTACACGAAAAACGATCTTTTAGTACACTATCTGTTTGTATCCATGGATAAGTTCCATTAACAATGGGTAATAAAGAATAATCTTGATTACGATAAATCGATGATGCTCTCATTAATTGTTCATAATTTGATAAATGATTATTAGTTTCATTGATTGGTATTATTGATGAAATTGAAGAAGGTTCAACTTGTTGATAATCATTTGAAGATGTTGCTAAATCTGATGTTGTTGATAAAGATGATGATGTTGTTGGTGATACAGATGAAGTAACAGGTTGAGAAAGAATATCAGATATATTAAAACCAAGTTTCTTACTCATTTGTAGAAATAAATATCAATGAATGAATAAATGAATGAATGAATCAATGATTGAATGAATAAAAAAAAAAAATATTTTCAGACGTCAAATGATCCGTTTGTCATTTAGTTTATTAAAAACTCGTTCGAGCAAATCATCTTTCTCTTGATATTACTGTCGCGTTCTTTGTTGTGCATCTATCTATCTATCCAAGATTTGGCTCTTTTTCTCTTTTCTCGCTCTCTTTCGTTTTTTTTGCTCTCTTCTTTTTATCGATGCCCATTAAAACGATCTGTTTCTGCTCAATGTAAAGATAGCACAATTCTTTCTTCGTTTTTTTTTTTTTCTTCTCTATATTTCTGTCTGGCAAATTTGAGCTGAAACAACAATCAGAAATTGCACGCGATGATATGTTTAATGTAATTGATTCTTCTCTTATTCTCATTCGTCGAACGTGATTGTCTTTTCTTCTTCTTCTTCTTCTTCGTTTTCTCAACAAACCAATTGACTGATCGTTTCCTATTGAGAAAGATTCATCTTCTTATTTGCTTTGCTTGTGTCTATCGTCTATATGGATAATTTTTTTTTTTCTCTTTAACCAATAATATTTTCTCTATGTAAAAATATAAACAGAATTAGAGAAGCTTGCAATAATAATTATATTGATTGGATATTATAACAGAACGAACGACTGTTGACGACATCATATACAACACTGATAAGAAGTTGATGATATTTGGATAGAAAAAAAAAGGGAAAACGAGAAGAGGTGCTGAGTGAAAGATTTTCGCTTATGTATATATCTGGATAATGTCGATCAATCAGACAAATTACATCAGTTAACCAATAAATAGGTGTATTTATAGAACTTTTCTTTTTTCTTTTTATTTTTACTAATTTGTTTATTGAAGTTTACATGTCTATATCAGTGAAAAAACAAAATAGCATAATCATTGTTTAATTATTTGTATTAATTTGATGTTTATACTTTAATTTTGATCGTTGTATGATTTATTGTTTGTGAAAACATACTTGTGCAATAAAAAGGTTCAATACCATGTTGACAATAATAACCTTCTTGTAATGCATGTCTTAGAGGAAGAACAAAACCAGATATTGTGAGTAATATACCAATTATCAGTAAAATATATGGACAAATATTATCACATAAAATTTGAGATGAATGTGGTTTTAATTTTAAATAACACAAAGCTGGTAAAATATAAGCAAGAGATGATGCAACTAATAATCCCTAAAAATTATAATCATATGTTAGATGAACAGAAAGATTTTTTGTTGTTTTTTTTGAATGTTATTCGACTTTTTACATCTTAAATAGACATAAACTTGGAATAAGTTGTATATTTTCTCCGTTGCTTAAGATTACTTTTGTAGTCTTTTTTCGAAATTTAGTTTTATTCTTCTTCAAAAGATATGCTATTGAATGTTTTACTCGGATCACAAGACTAAATCTTTATAGTTATTTTTGAAATTTTAATAGACTGTTAATACTGAACATGTGTATCATCGTGTTATTTTCTACAAAGAAAAATAAGAGAAAGCGAAAAAATTATTGAATTTTGTTCATTCATTGTAGCTATAATTTTTAGAACCAATCAGAGACGTAATGTGATCTTCAAAGCACGAGGTATTATTACTCATCTGCACCTCAAATACAAGTGAAAAATAATATCAATGTCAATTGATCTGGATGTTTCGTTCTGAAATAAAACATTTTTTTTTTGGCTGTGTTTTTCTCAAATATTAAATCGTCTAAAAACAATCAGCTCGATGCATAAATCATTAGATTAGGCTTCCTCGAAAGAAATAGTACAAAAGAATTGAACTTAACAAAATATTACAATGAGAATTTCGTTTCAACTAAAGATGATGAAAATACATTGAGGAGAAATCAATACTGATCTCTTAGGAAGTATTGGTTTTTTTTGTAGTGTCTAAAACGGTTCTTAAAAATGGCTTGCGTGGTCAATTACAAAAATGGGCTTTTCTGATTTTTTTTTCTTGTGAAAAATAATACGATGATACACTCATTCAGTATTAGCAGTCTATTAAAACATTGAAAATAGTTATCAAGATTTGATCTTGTGATACAAGTAGAACATTCAGTGGCGCACTTTTGAAAAAAAGACTAACATTTTATTATATTTCTGAACAGGATTACATACAAAACCAAGAATATCGCAAAATTTTTCCTTAATTCTATATTCATTGATACGGATCATTACGAAAGAATAGCTCGGTTTAATTGATTCCTATTGAAAAATGATCTCAAATAGCAAGTGAAATTATGGAAGAACATATTATTAGATTAAAATCTAGGAAACTTCTTGAAAACATACATCCGAGAAAAATTAAAGATTGATCAGTTTTCTAAGTGTACTAGATATTATTATATTAAATTCCTAATAAGAAAATGAAAATAAAAATAACTTACATTGAGTTCAAGAACAATTCCAAGACAATCTGTAGTTAATGATAATATCACACTTGCAGTAACAATTAAAATTGTAATCATATAATGACTACGATCTGAACTTAAATTTATCCATTTACTACAAACAATTTCTATTACCTTCAATAAACAAAAACAAAAGAACAAAAAGATCAATATTAATTTCTATATAAGATATACTTGACGACAAACAAGACATTCCAATGGAAATGTCAGCATTATATTTATAGCATAAATAAGTCGAGCAATATTAATAAGTGTATCCCAATGACAATAATTTTCCAGAAGATCACCTTTTATTTATTTTATAAAAAAATAAACATAAACATGAAAAACAATATTATTAATATAAAATTTCATTCAAAAATACCTTCAGTTTGTTGACCAAATACAATATAACCTGTAAGAGCATATGTAACAGCAAAAATAAATGCAACTATTGATGTTATTAATGTAACAATTCGCCATCGTGGAAGAGTTTTTTCATTCATTGAATGATATATCAAAAATGAATTATGTTGACACATGAATGCAAATCTATATATCGACAAGAAACAAAAAAAAACAAACAAAAGTATACAAGATATTTTTCTTTCTTCTTACGCCATTACACCAATACTTTCAGCTATATTTGTATTCACAGGACGAACATCACGAATTTCTGGTGATCTAAAAACAGCAATAAAAATTCAATCATATAAGATTTCCTTATCTTATATACATACATAAATGGTATAGTATCATAACCACGTTTTATTAATATTAATACAGTTGTTAAAACAAGTATAAGACCTGTAAGTGATATTTGAGATAATTTAGCTATATTTCGATAAAGAGATAATGGTAAAGTAACACAACAAGAACAAAGAAAAATAATAATATATCGATTTTGAAATAGATATGGTATTGTTGGCCATAAACGATGAAGAACTTTAGTTATTGTATCACCTAAATTTATTTTTTAAATTTAGAAAAAATAAAAAAGAATTTTCTGTTTTTTTTTTTTTTTGGTTTTTTTATACCAATAATTATATTATATGAAATAAGACAAATAAATGGATAAAGAAATTGCACTAATGAAAGCCATAAAAAACCAGACTTTCCAAGTACAATATAAACAAGTTCTTGATATGTTGTTGCTTTTGCCATGTGACCAGAATGAAGTAAAATTGTTGTTGAATAATCTAAATGATAAAAATCATTTATTTAAAGATAACAATTAGAAAAAAATTTCGATTTCAAGATTAAGTCTTGGCTTTTTTTAAATAGCTATCAATAAATCAATGAATCGATCATTCCTAAAAAAAGCTCACCTTTGCTTACCAGTTAAAATAGCTACTATAACAAGTAATAAAGTTCCAGCAAAATAACCCGATTGTCGAAAAGAATAACTCATACCTATATGAAAGAAATATTCAATGCAAACAAAAAGAAAAATATCTTGAATAAATAAAAACTTACCGATAACACCAGATCCAACTATTGAATTAATTAAATTATAGGATGCTCCAGCTATACTACTTCGTCGGTTAATTTCTTGTTCATCCTAGATTATCGAGAGATAAAGAACATTAATGAATATTAATAATTCGAAATTTTATCTTTATCCATAATAATCTTACGAGAAAAATTCTCCAATTGATAAATCGCTTTTGAATCGAGATTATATGCATTATGCAGATCCAAATGAATTATGAATATCTTGAAAAGAGTTCGTGTCCTTAGGTTACTGCTGCGAAGATGTTGCACCGTTATAATGTTTTAAAAAAATGAATATCGTAATCCACACAGGTACACCAGAAAAACTGATTTACGAATTTCTACTTCAAACATTGCATAGTGACCAAGAGTAGTTTATTATGAAAGTTTCAGTCTTTTAATTTGCTTCTATCCTGAAATAAGAACATCAAATCTGCAGATATATATGAATGGATGCAAAATACAAGTTATTATCATAGTTGTATCTTAGGATAGGAACAGTGACAAGATCTGAAACATTCATAAAAAAAACCTATTCTCGTTAAGACTTCTCTCTATGTAAAGTCTCAAGTCAAAACTCGAATATCAGTTTTTCCGGACCATGACTTTCAATTAAAAAATACTGTAAAAATGCAGTATCTCCACAGCAATACACTAAGGATGGAAGTGTGAGTCTTTGCTTCACCTTTACCAATGTCTATATCTACATCTAACTATGATGGTAACGAATCGATCTAGTAATGAACTAGTTAATTAAAATAAAATACTGTATATATAGAACCGATTAAATTTGATCTAGACTCATTTTTAGTCATGAACTCATTCGGCGATGTTGAAATCAGGAAAAAAATGAACTAATTCAATGTAAAAGGTGTTTTCTTCATATCAAATGAAGTTATTAAAAAAATTTTTATGATCATAGAATGATCAATTTGTTTCTCAAATCTCTCAGATGGTACAATCGACTTTTTATAATTTCGACATTGAAAAAAAAATACTCGATTCAACTAAACTTGAACGATTTCATACTTTTTATGCAAGATCAAACTTACCGTGAAAAAAAATGCCGCACTGAAATAAAACAAAAGAAACACTCATGAAATTAAATCGAACAATAAATAATTATGTTTTTAAACTTTACCCCATAATAGCTCGTTTACTGTAACGTATAACTCGTCGACTCAATTTCGGCAACATATCATCAATATGCAAAAGAAAAAAAAAACGTCTTATTACATATTTCTCTTTATCATTCTGTTTTTTGTGATCTAAAATAAAATATAATTTTGATGAAAATAGAAAGTCTTGACCTAATCATCATTAATACAAAAAAAAAAAAAAATAACGAAACAAAGATTTTCGTGATCATGGAATTTTTTCTTCTTTTTTGATTTATGCTATTCTCTTGAATTTTTTCTTTTTCAAGTTAACAAAATAAAAACAACACAACCACATAAAAAAATCAAAAAACATGTTGTAGACAACACATCTTTTAGAGTAAAATTATCAACAAATATGTCATATAGACACAAATCGGTGGAATGAAAACAAAGAAACCAATTTACGTAAGGTCTAACACATCAACAATAATTGTCACAATATTTTTTAAGAAAAACAAAAAAAAAAAGAACACTGTTTCAAGAGAGTATTGTTATTCATATATGGAATAGAAAACAAAAAAAAAACACCATAATTTTGATAATGACTAGTTAAATAAAAACGTTTTTTTTTTGTTGTTTTAGAGTGTATAACGTTTTCGTTTGCTTTTAAAATATCGTCGTCGAACAAAAATAATAATAATCACAAGTAATATAAAAAAATACAATGGAAAATGTTGAATTATTGAAATTATAAATCGTATTAATCCAAATTTTTCTGTTGATTCATCAGTTATTTCAATCATTGAATATTGATCTATTGAAGTTCTACGTTCATATTGAGGCATTAAATTTTGTTTATTATCATGATTTATTATGAAATTTTCTACTGATAATAAATCAATATTATCTTTTGAATAATATCGTAAAAGAAAATTAATTATATTTGATAAATCAAAATTATTATCACTATTTTCATTAGTTAAATGACACTTTGAACAAAGAGATCCTGATGGAAATTGAATTTTTGGATGTAGAGGATCTTCAGTATTATCACCATGTAAACGTTTATTAACACGATTATGAACTAAAAGATATTTATCAAATAAAAAAAAAAAAAAACAAATCACAATAATGAACATACTTGTCCAAAGATACATAACAGCTGCATGTTTATTTTGTGAATCAAGTTGATTAATATCTTGTGTTTCTTTCATAAAATTTTCACTACAATGTCGACAACTAAAAAAATTTTTTATAAAATATTTTATAGCTGAAGGAATTTCAATTGTATTCATTTGTGTTGTTTCTAGATATAAAAACAAAACAAAGAACAAGATTAATAAAATAAATATGAGAAAAAAAAGATCAATGAATAAAAACCTAATTGAACTTGTGAAACAGTTAATGTATGAAAAAGTATCCAAAGACTACATGGATAACCACGATATTGTGATGAAGAACCTACACAATATTTATACTGAAGTAGACTTTTTGGTAAATAACTATCTGGTGTATTTGTATCAGCTAATTCTCGAAATTGTTTTCCAGTTAAACCATTTGGTTGTTCTTGTACTTTTGATAATAATTGTTTAAGATAATTCATAACTGGTTCACGACCAGGAAAATACTAAAGAAAAATAAATAATATATATATTAAAAAACAAAGAGAATATTTGTTTGCGTTTTATATCAATATTTCTTTTGATAGTAGATGAATTTAAATATTATCGAATACAAAATATTAATATAAAGAATGTTTCTACTGTGTTGATGAATAGATATTGAATATATGTATTTAAAAAATATTAAAAAAAAAATAAGAATTGGATTAAAGTTACTTTTTCGACATGGTCGAATGTTACGGAATTTCATTTTTTTACATCTTTGGCGGATCGTATCTCCGTTAAGACAAAAGCAAATATCCTGAAATTTTCATTATAGATGGACCTTAGTTAGATCTACCATATATCAAAAAAATTTCATTCGTTCTGGTACACTCAAAGCAGAGTTATTCTTGAAAAAATAAATTTGATTAAATTTTTGCGATATTTTGATCAATGTATTATTTCCTTTGGGTTGATGTAAATTGGGTCTAATTTCTCTTGGATGATAACTTATGTGTTACTCTTTAAATACATATATTCAATATAGATTCGTCTTCAAATACGATCAAAATATAAAAATCGGGTCGAAACTTATGAAATACCCTTTATAAGCGATTACCATCATCTAGATGCGCGTATAATTAAACGTATTAGATACTTGAAAATGTATTCTGAAAGCCATACAGAAGTGTGGTATAGACCTAAACAACTTATAGTAGATTTTGGTCAAAGTTATAGTCCAACTTTCATCTGTATTTAATAAAAATTATTTTGTAATCTATTTACTTCATAAACTTTCAAAAGTAAGTCTTAATATTTCGATGTACGCTTCAAGAAAAGAAGTGATCCTTTTGCTAAGGAATTTGTTCAACTAATAATCTCTGTTTGAGCTTATATTTTTCTTGTAGTTAGAAATCCTGAAAGAGTTCATACCCTTAGACCTTTCTTCTCGATTTATGGTCATTTTACTGAACTTTCAAGCTATTGCAGGATCTTATAAGGAAAATCACAACAAGAAATTTCAATCTGAAATTCTTCTCAACAAGAGCTATCATGATTCTTACGATATCCTGAAAATTTCAGCTCAAACGGATGATTTTTTCTTAAGATATCGTTTGCCTAAAATTTGGACTATTTTTGGAGCTCTTGTGTGAAAGTGTTTTTTTGCAAACATGTTATCTCAGAAGGGGAATATTCGTTTGAGCTAAAACTTTCAAAATATCATAAGGATCATGAAAGCTATTTGTTGGGGAGAATTTCAGATTGAAACTCCTTGTTACAATTTTTTCTCGTGATGCCCTGCAATAGACTGAAAGTTCAGTAAAACGATTTATCTACACCTATGAGAAAAATATGAAGTCAAATATAGCTCATCAGTTAAATTGATTCTCTCATTAGTTGTTTTTAAGAGATGACGTATTAGAAATAAGAATTCAACATGAATCATATTTTCATGAATCAAATCGTATTCTATTTTACATTGAACAATATTCGAAAAGAGAAATATTAATATCATTATACCTTAGTGAGAACAATTAGCCAATGTACTAATGCATCATAAGTTTCACCACGAATTTCTTGAACTCGAGGTATTTCTCGACGTAACATATAAGATAAAGATGTTTCAAGATCGACCATACTAATTTTTTGATCATTTATATTTTTATTTAATACATTATTTATTTCTTTATTATTTTGATTCGATTTTTTCTTTTTTTTCATATTCTCAAGTGCATTTCTACTTTGAATTATTTCTTCTAAATCAGTATCATCAAAATTATCAATAAATTGTGTTTGACGAATACGTGAACGAATAGCATAATTTAATAAATTTCGACTGCCAATCTTTTCACTATAATAAATAAAATGTTTTCTTTTTTCTTTTTCTTTTGTTCAAATAATCATCTGATTACTTCGTATTTTGTTTTGTATTAATCTGTTCTACAGTTCGATTTGGAAAAATAGCAAATAGAGCCGGTATATCTGTCATATTAATTTGAAATTTATACCATAATTTTCTATCTGTTGTCATTCGAAAAATTGCTAATTGTTCATAATATTTAGAAAAATCAAGCATTATCTAAATATTATAATAAAATATATTTTTAACGAAACAAAAAAAAAAAAAGAAGAAGATCATATTACCTGTCGACCAGTAAAATCATCTCGTTTTTCTATAATAACTAATACCATTTTTACAGATGATGAAATACGATTATAAAGATCTTCAAATGAAGCTTGACTAAAATTTTAAAATGAATGCAAAAAAAAATGAAATGTAATTATGATAACAAAAGATTTACTTTAAAGATGCAAAATGTGGCCAAGTTTTGTCCGTTCTTTTTAAATCAGCAAGTTCTTTTATTAGTTCTCTTTCAACATCTTTAGCATCCGTTGCTAATACAGTTATGGTTTTAGATGTATTCATTAATGCTTCTGGTTCTATTAACTAGAACATAAAAAATATAGAACGAAATAGTTTTTTTATTCTTTTATTCGACTCACACGAAGTGTTGGATAAGCTGAAATATTATGTTGTTCACACAAAGCACTATTTTCATCGGTATGACAGTTTATTGCGCCAATACGAACGACTGTTCGCCATCCTTGAAAAAGAAAATGAACTTATTATTATTATTTGTTTTCTAAGAAAGAAATCTTAATATTTCGTGTTTACCCCAAGTATCAATAGCAACTTCTCGATAAGTCTAATAAAAAAAATAGAAAAATAAAATTTTATTAGAAGAAAACAAAAAAAAATAAAATCTTACATTTGCATAAGATTGACAATGACCACACCAACTAGCATAGAATTCAATAAGCCATGCTGTTTTAGATTGATAAACTGTTGATGAAAAATTTTTACTTGTTAGAACTGTTACTTTATCATTTTCAGTATATAATGAAATTGAATTTTGTGGTAGTACTGCCGCTGATAAAGTTTGTCGATTAATTGTAATAATAATAAGTAAAATAAAGTACCAATAAAAATCGACAATATATTTATCAACAAATAAGGATTTCATTGACGCAGAATTAGTAAATTGAATTTATCTATAATCTTAAATATTAAAAAAAAAAATAAAAAGTATTCGTAATTTTAAATTGGAATATATGTGTATTCATATAAATACATAACATATATGACAGTTCTAAGTGATCAATGTAAAAGTCTCAAAGTATTATTTGATTACCGCGCGCACATTCTATTTTCTTTCGCGCCCCTCATACAAATAAGCGAGGATGATAAATTCATCATTCTTTTGTTCTTGTCAAACGACAAAAAAAAAAAGAAAAGAAGAAGAGCTTTGTGTGGGATGATGATGAATAAATAATTGAAGTGTTAGAGAAGAGGCTCAACGATAACGTACTATGATGACAAAGCAAAAGGAAAAAAAAAATAATAGATTAAAGGACAGTCTATGTAATCTTTTCGAATAAAGTTTGCAATATTCTCTTGCTTTACATGTCGACTGTCGGTCATTAATAAACAGATAAAAACGAGACAGTAAGTAAAGATTCAACGATCGAATTTGCGAGCGTTATTACTGTCTATACAAGAGATCAAGTCTTTATTTGAAGTAAATTATTGACCTGTATAATGTCATCAAACTACCCTTTTGTATGATCATGATATTGATAGTGTTTAGGTACATTCTAAACATTGTTTATCGTAGCCTTGATAATTCAATGTGTGTCTCTTATATTGTTATATTATCTATTCGTTGCACCGTTTGGTTTTTTTTCCTTTTATGTTAATTAATAATCATATTTTTGTCACAAGGACAATTCTTCTACATTTTTTTCCTACTTCTATCATTTACATAAAAATCTGCAGCTGACTTAACTCATTCAAATTTTAATTAAAACACTCAAGTTAAACTCAGTTTAGTTGTAAAAGACAAAGTATCGTGTCTTATATTTATATAAAAATGCATTAGTTTTTATAGCTTAGGCACCTTTTTTTTTCTTTTGTTTAGTTTCAAGTCGGTTTCATATATAGATTCTTTTGATTGACACTCGACAATTATTATTTATAATTATTATGAAGATTCTGACATGTTTAAGATATTTAATCTTTTTATGTCTAGAAACTAAATATTAAATTAATACATTCATCATTTGAGCATAGACAAATGTCACTAATTTTATAGTAATAAAATCTATTGTATTTCGAAGAGTTTTATTGAAAAAGTCAAAAACAAAATAAAATATTCTAGGCTAATAAGTAATCAAATGCATCAATCACTAATGTGAAGACTTTCTCAAAAAGAAATAAGATCATTTAAGAATTTATAACTATGAGTATGACTAACATCAACTGTGTTTTCAGATTGACAAGAAAATCGATAACTGAATCAAATTTTATGTGTAAAAGTCTCTCGCTTTTCCGTTAATAAAAGATTTCTTTTTCTATGCAAATTTTATTATTGACCGATAAAATTAGGTTTACGTTTTTCTAAAAATGCAGTCATGCCTTCTTTTCGATCGGCCTAAATAAAAAAAAATAAACAAACACAAAAGTTTATATATGTATTTTTTCTCTATCTTATATTTAACATACCAAACCAAACGTTGTATTGAAAAGACATTTTTCGAATCGATTGCCTTCTGTCAATGTTGTTTCAAAAGCTATACAACAAAAACAAAGAAAACAATGCTTGTTTGCTTTTTTTTTTACTAAAGAAAAAATGTTTATTTACCAGCATTGACCGTTTCTTTAGCTAATTGTATAACAATATTCGAATGACTAGCTATTTTGTCAGCTGTTTTAATAGCTTCTTCAACAAGTTTATCAGCTGGAAAGACACCACTAACTAAACCTATTTTTTCAGCTTCTTGTGCACTAATTCGATTGCCTGTCAATATCATTTTCATTGCTTTCGATTTGCCTACATAACGAGGTAAACGTTGAGTGGCACCAGCTCCTTTAAAAATAAATAAATATTCTAATAGATTTATCATACTCATATTTTACATACCAGGTATGGTACCAATAATAACCTCTGGTTGACCAAATTCTGCTTTGTCACCAGCATAGATAATATCACACATCATCGATAATTCACAACCACCACCTAACTAATCAAAAAACAAAAAAAAGAAATTGAAAAACAGTTCTGAAAAGAAAATAAAAACTTACTGCTAAACCATTGACAGCAGCAATAATTGGTTTTTTTATTCGTGATACTGCTAATAATTGATTAGGAAAATCTGAATTAATAACTTGTTGCAATGTTTTATTTTGCATTTCTTTGATATCAGCACCAGCTAAAATATACACTATCAAGATATTTATATAGATAATTAAATAAAATTTACCAGCAAATGTACGTATACCACCAGTAAGAACAATACAAGCAATCTTTTCATCTTTATCAAGTGATTCTAATACTGTAGCCAACTAGAATAAGAATATAAACATATATGAATACTAGGTTTTTATTGTAAATAAACGATATAATTTTGTTTTTGTGATAAAAGTAACTATTTGTACTTAACAATAGAAATAGTGATTAGGTTACCGATGCTTATATTATTAAATTTACAATCATACCTCTTTTATCAGACCATCACATAAAGAATTAAATGTTTTAGGTCGATTAAGTTGAACAAGTGCTACATTCGAATTTTGTCCTTTGATATTGACTAATAAATATTCATATTTATTTTGTTGCTGTTGTTGTGATTTTTTCTCACCTTTATGTAGAAAAAATAAATAGTAAGGAATGTTTTTTGTATAATACTTTGTTGAAACTGTTCTGTTGAAGTTGAACGAAAATTTAATAATGTATTATATGATGGTTTTAAGATAAATGTTGCCGTTCTTCTTGAATGTCCTATAAGTTATGTCAATGTTCTTGCAAAAAAACTCATCTGCAATGCATCATAGATGCAAAAGAAGTCCACATATCATGAAAATTAATGTATCAAAAATAAAACTACTACAAAAGATGCAAATAATTACAAATTTTTGAATTGTTCATTTTCAAATTAGAAAAAATCAGATCTGATTGTAAGCAGAAAATAATGTTATTGGATGCAACGTGTACCAATGCAAACATCAAAGTTTCAAAGCAAAGGAAGTGAGTATATCTGCTGTGCGACCTCTATATCTATTGAAATATTAAAAATGTGAAGTTTAGCAGCGGATTCAAGTATTTTTCACTGACATTTGCTTTTGAATCTGTCCTAACCTTCGAATTAATTGTGTTGAGTACAGAATGTCATTCTCTATCAAATAGTAACATTTTCGGTGGAGAGTCATCAACCAAAAACTGAGGATTCAGATCGATATACTGGATTTTTGACTCTATATTGCCAGTATATTCTGCTGATATACATTATTGAACTTTTGATGGATTCAAATGAAATATATTTTTGAAAAAAAATTTTATTATTATTGTAACGATAAAATGAGAAAGATGATGCCATGACAGACTGGAGGAGTAGCTAGCCGCTACTCGGCAATGATGTTTATTAGCTGCTTCACATGTTCAGAATGTGTCTATTTCACATTCAACACAAGCCTATCTATGATAGAGAAACAAAGAGAGAGACGACACAGAGAGAACAATAGAGAGAGGAAAAGGAAAAGTATTGAGCCGTGACGTATATAGCGGCACAATTATAAAATATGATTGACGAAAAACTTAAAAGGTTAGTTATATTTTTGGAATAAACAAGTATTATAATGATCATTGTAATAGTCTCGAATTAAGGGGAAAAAAGCTGAATTTTTAATTGCCAATGATTGCTTCGATTACAATCAGCTTTTTCTCCCTTGCCATAAGGAATTGTCTTGGCTAACCAGAGGTTTATCAATGCTATCTATCATTTGGCAAAGACAAGGTTATGCTCTTCCCTGATTATAAGAGAGAACAAGCCTAGTGCAACCGATCGTACTAGGCTTGTTCTCTCTTATAGTCAGCGAAGAACATAACCTTGTCTTTGCCAAATGACAGATAGCATTGATAAACCCCTGATTAGCCAAGACAACTCTTCATGGTGCCTTTACTGTAAGAGGAAAAACCCTTCTAAAATCTGATTGGTTGATAGAAAAAGCTTTCAATCAATCAGACTGTAATTCATTTACTTTACTTTACTTTACTTCTTAAAGTAAAAATAAAGTGCCATCCTTATTGGTTGCCAATGATTGACAATGATTGCTTTGATTCCAATCAGCCTTTACCTCCTTGTCTCGAATGCTCTTGATATTTTTGCTACTGACGATAGATTAATGCATGCGGTCTCAAGTTTAGACTGAAATATTTTTCAGATAGATGGATTCAGAAACTTGATCCATTGCTTTCAGGAACTTAATATAAGCGTTCATTAATGTGTGTTTTTTTACAGTAAGATCGTAAAATTGCGGAATAAAGTTCGCTTTGCGGTTTTCTACTTATGAAGAGCCTTTTGTTACGGATTACAAACATACATGTGTATAGGTAATCCTAATTTTCTTTACTTTGTAAGATAAACATATCGTACATTACGATTAAAATAGAGAACGGTTGTTTATGCGAGTAAAAAAGCAAAAAAGATGTTTCTTACACACATCTAATGTCAATTGATTTAGAAATGTTTAACTTAATGAAATTTTCTTTTGACTACTTACGGAGATAAAATCTACCATTCATTGGATGAAATTTTGAAATAAAATTTGCGAATGACATAGATAATTTTTTTTTGTATAACTTTACGACATTGTACTTTCATGTCTCGTATTGAAATGTTACACTGACAGCGAAACATTGACAAAACTACAAAGAAATATCAAATCATCGATTATTGTAAGAGACAGGTAGGATGATACGTAGTCAGCTTACGTAAATGAATCGGGCAAATAAAAAGACAATACGGTTAGAGGTATTGGATAAGAACAGAAATATAAAGGTGACCTTACAATAACAACTAATATTGTAGAAAAAAAAACTTTGCTCTTGCTGTGTATTGATCGAATTCAAAGCTTCGTCTCAAGTGTTTTTTCTAAAAATATCTTAAGAAAATATTTAAGCCGGATATAACTGTTATCATGTAAGAGAAATATATATGAAGGCTTCCATAGATAATTTTTAGTTGTTACTTAAGAAAGCAACAAGAAGAAATCAAAACAAGTTCTATAAGTAATATAGCATTAATGTAAATAGACCAAATTTTCAGAACTAGCATTTTTAAATGTCACAAGTCGTATCTGAAAAGTAAAGTGCATAATTAAAGTCCTTTGGACATTGAATCATCAACTACATTGGCAAAGCCAGTGTTCCATGCTTGAAAATTCCGAATATTGTACTCGTTGGTTGTTAAATTAACTACTCTGGAAAATTTGGTCTATTTGTTTCAATGCTATATCATTTATAGAACTTGTTTTGATTTCTTCTTGTTGCTTTCTTAAGTAACAACTAAAAATTATTTATGGAAGCCTTCATATGTATTTCTCTTACATAATAACAGATAAAATTTCTTTAGTAAGGTCAACAATAATACTTAATAGAAATGTTTACTTACATTATCTGTATAAAAAGAATTTTGAATAAAGTTCTATCACTAACCAAAAAATCAGTCCATTTGATTAAACTGGAGTGAAGATATTTGAATTTTTTATCGTAGTGCTATTTATGAGGCATCCTGTATATGATGATGATACATAAATGTCAGCCTACAAACTATATTATTTTAACAGACATGGTCGTATTGAGACATTTCGTCTAATTTTTGCTTCTGCTGACCAAAAATTTAACGAAATTCAATACGAACCGAGTGAATGGCCAACACACAAAGCTGAAATATCTCTTGAACAAATACCAGTGCTTGAAATCGATGAATTCAAATTACCTCAAACGATTTGGATAGTACATCTTCTTGCCAAATAATTTGAAACAAGCTAAAGTAGACGCCGTTGCTGATACATTAACTGATTTAGTCAATGAATTCTCAGTAATTTTGTGGGGAGAAGAAGATGAAAATAAGAAAAAAGAAGGCATCAACAAATTCATGATTGACGAATTGTCAAAACACTTAAAAGATCTTGAAACTTTGGCATGTTCTTAACAGTAGTAGTAGTAGCCATTTCTTCCGTCGGTAACAACCTCATTTGGGTAGATCTATATGTATACCATATGAGTCAGAATATTTTCGAAATAGATAACAATCTTTTCAATGGTTATCCTTGGTTAAAAGCTAATCGAAAAGCAGTTGAAAAACAATCAAGCATTGTGACGTACCTCAAGAGTCGTCCAATACCACCGTATTAAGTGACATTTTTGGTATTAAAAACACGTTCATTTGCTTTTTCTTTTGTCTGAATCTTTTCTTCTATTATATCCTCATTGCCAATAAAGATCTGAAATATCCATTATAAATTGATGATTAGTGTCCGACTCGGGTCGGGTTACAAAAAAAATTTTTTGATATTGGAATAGATCTGCAGCCTGAACATTTTATAGATACAAAAGGCATTGTGAATGGGTTTTTTTTTCATTTAAAAGTTCTATGAGAGAGCGTGGAAAAGTTTAGTAGAACAAAAAATTATGTATTGCACGATCTTTTCTTCTAGCTCATCGACTTTTCTTTGTTGACATCGGACAACGATGGATAGTGAGTGCACTGTCTGTTCAATGTTGATATAATGGTCGCAGGTTGTATACATAAGAAAAGAAAGACAAACAGGAAAAAATTCTATCATATAATCGTGCTGCTCCAAATGCGAAATTTTGGTGAAATATCATGGACATATCCTGTTTCCAACTAGGAAATGAATGGAAGATAAAAGGATTGAGAAATTGATTTTCTCAAGGCAAAAAGAAAAAAGTAGTCGATACCAGAGTTCGACTCTAGTCGATTAGAATCACAAAAATTTGACCCATGTCAGACACTGTTGGTAATATAAGGAAAGTATTTTCTTCTTATCCTCAGATCATGGTAACATTTTCTTTGTTTTCTTTACCGACTCAAATAACTACAATTGTATAGATATATATAAGATATCGTAGTTAGAAAATAAAGATTTAAATTATTTTCTCAATTGTTCTTCGTTATTCTTCAAAAATAAACAAGTAATAATCTTTTCAGCATATCTTGTAAAAACATTTATTTGAAATACAACAGTCGATACATACAGACAGTTAAATGAAAAGAAAATAGAGTTCAACATGAATAATCCTATAGTAAGTGATTTTATCAATTCCTCTGAACGAGTTTTTCTGAGGAGAACCAAAAAAAAGAGAAGCATTTGTCACTGTTAGATAAGACAAATATAATAAATATGATTGATAAACATTAACGAATATGTTAATCGAACAATGATGATGTGGCTAAAATAAAAATAAAAAAAAAGGTTCATAATTTGATATAAAACTCGAAATTATTTTATTAATATTAAGTCTAACATTTTTTAATTCTCATTTTTTTGATCCCTTGCAAATTAATAAAAAGTCTAACTTTTTAATTGATAAATTAAATACTCCATTTTGTTAAGAATTTGATGTTAATTCCAAATATGTGAATATCAATGAACAAAAACAGTGGAGAACGCTTAACGATCTTAAAACAACATGATTTTCGGATTTTAATAAAATTTCGTAACACATTATTTCTAGAAAATGAATGCAAATATTAAATCAAAATGGATGTATTCGGTAAAACTCGTCGAGTTCTATCTAGAGATACCGTTTTTGTTGCGAAAATTGTCAATAGAAGCGAGTAAAACACACTATAATTAAGTTTCGTTACAGAATTTCATCAAAAACAGAGATGATTTTTGAACGCATTATCTTGATTTCGTAGATATCTAACATTTGTACGAAGATTATATGGTGAAAGAGTACTCCGTATTCGATCGATTAATATCTAATTAAAGAATTTTTTTCTAATGATCGCTGCTTATTTAAAGATCTATGCTACATTATCTTTTGCACAAATTTTCGCATTGGCTACCTTAAGAAAGATTTTGAATATCCAGAGCATACAAAGTTGCTCAAGAATAGAAACACTTCCATTTCACATACTACTGATCATATTTTGTTCAATAGCAAAATCAGCTTTCCTTACTTTTAAGTTTGAATCTATCTTACTGTGTGCAAGTGATTAATGGCTGGCCATGCCAATAAGATACTATCTATATTTAACTTCTTATGCACATCAAAATTGTCTCACTATTATGTATTCATAGAATGCTGTGAAAGATATTTTATCGAGATAAATTATTAAGATCAAATGAAATTTTTTATAGCAACACTATCACTATTGTATATACTAAACTTTTGATAACAATCATGGCAATTCAAAATTTTCTGAAACTTACGAGGACGTCCAAGTGCTGATTGTACAATTTGATACATGCATCGTTGAAATTCTTTAAGAATAGCTTGTTTTGATTCGAGATCACTCATTTGATTCATTTCACATTGTTGACCAGTAACAAGTAAACAAGTAGCTAATGCTTCAGTTACTTCCATGTTAAATACATTATTTGGAATAGTACTAAACCATATAAAAGAAGCTCTCATAATAAAAAAAAACATAGATATGTTACGTTTCTGTTGGAGGCCCTGTTCGTGGTATTTGATCAAGTGGAGTTTGTGATGTTGTTTTTGGTTGACCCGATCGATAGAAACCGACATTAAGAGGATGTACTGATTGTTCAGTATTTTTACAACCAATGCTAAAAAAGAACCAACTTTCCGTTACTATCATTTGACTAAAAAATATTTATCTATTTACCATTTACATAAGTTAGTACAAGGTACTCGTGACTAAGAAAAAAATATGCTATAAATGAATGTAAAAAAAAAAGAAAACTTATTTACTTCATAACATTCACAATATCGTTTGTGACAACTTGATTTTTTACACTAAGAAAACAAAAATAAAAATTTATTAATCTAATACTTCATCAAACAATCGATTCGAACATACATTGCAACCTTTCAGAGGTCGATCTGGTTGTGGAATAGTTGTATTAGCTATATTTTTTTTTAAATAGGAAAGAAAAACAAGAATTAGATCATTTATTTTGATATATGAAAATAGTATTAAAAACTAACCAAATTTGTACATTTTTGATTTAAATGCATTTGGATTACGTTCAAGTGTAGCAGCTATTGCTTTTGCTCGTTCTTCTTCATGTCGTGTATCATTATGACAATTTAGACAAGCACAGTTTTGACAATTAAGACCATTAGCAAAACAATCACAATATCTTTTAAGAAAATAAAATTGTCTTTAAATATTATTCTTTATCATATAAACTTACAATTTAAGACACATTGATTTTGTACAATTACATGGTTTTCGCTGATATTGAATCGGTAAATAATCAACATTCGTTGTTCTATATATAGTTATGAATAAATTTATTTATTGATTTAAGTAAATAAGAAAAAAATAGATAAATCAACCTCGTATTAGTAGTTGATTGTTCTGTTGGAAAAAGATTGGGATTACTATTATTTTCTTTTTGAGCAGAGTTTGGATCTTGTTGAACTTGCAACTAAATAAAATATAAAAGAAAAAAATAAATAAAAACAACGTATTGAATTAATCCATTTTAAACTCGACAAGTATAGGGGGCTGGTGGGACTTTTGGAGAGGAGATTTATTTGACCTTTTTAAAGTTTCGGGATTTTTTTACTATATCGTAGAGTATGGCGTTGCTTTATAAGATTTATTGAAATACATCGTTAATTTATCTTTGGAGGAATTTTTCCTGGTGAGTGTATTCTAAATCTAAGGTTCAATTCATTATTCGGTTCACTGTGTTTTTTTTGTTAATCAGAATTTTCTTTCGATTAATATCTCATAAAAAGATTCCTATAATAAATCTTGTCACATAATATCGAATCAGTATATCCTATCGGATTTATATAGAATATATTATTCTTTCAGCCTGTTTATTATACAAAACATTCACTCCAGGATTCATTAAAAAATTCTAATAAATCTCGAAAAAATAAGTTCTAAAAATTGCTGAATAAGTGGTAGAAGAATTTCTCAAATTAGGACAAATCCAATTTCATGTAATCATATCTATATGATTAATCTTGATGAGTAGATGTACTTCATGAAAAGTTTGATAAACATTTTACCGTCACAAGTGGTTGTGTAATAACAAGATTTCCACGTTGTTGAAGTAAAATTTGTTGGCCTGATGTTTGTACTAAAATTAAAATATTTGATTCAATTATGAAATTTTGTTTATTGTTATAAATTATTTACTTGTAGACATCTCACTGGGATTAATAAATGTCGATGGTGTTACTAAACGTAAGGTTGAAAAAGATGCAGAATTTGATGATGATTGTGGAACCATTGTCGCAAGTGATACTGTATTGAGTGGTTGAGTTTGTTGTAAAACAGTCATTACTTCAGATTTTGGTACAGCTGAAAATGTTATATTAGAACTATTAAAATCAGATGAATCAAGAGCGATTCGTTTATTTGGTTGATGTGGTTCAACATTATCACTCTAAAAAAAGACAAAATATTAAATCAAAAATAAGAATTTGTATGAAATTAATGTTACAACCTGTTGTAAAATGATTGGTTTAACATCAACATTTGTTGTTGTTAGAGCTTGTTGAATACTATCTCGATATGGTTTTACAATAACATTTTTAAATGGTATTGATGAAGATGATGATGGTTGTAATGTTTGTTGATGAAGAATGATAGGAGGTCGAACAATTGGATGAGCAGTTACAGTTTGAATGGAAGGATTTGAACTTATTGATGAAGAAGATGGAAGAAGAACGATGGACGGAGGATTACCAGACATTGGAATTCTCCTAACAATATGATGAATGATCGATCACTTTTTTTTTCTTCGATGAAACAATTATCTTAACATCCTTCCTTGTCCACTTACGATTTGATTGAAGGAAACGATATCCATATGAGTGATAGTTACAGAGGGCAGTATACGTCGAGACTGTACATATAATCAAATTTTTTGTACATGAAGGAAACAGAACAATAAAAGTACATTTTGAAATACGCTTTATGCTTTAGGATACATGTATTTTTTTTTCATGAATGTCTTAGTTTTCCATCAGTTTATTCATTAATTGTAAAATATTTTGATGAATGAGAGAAAGAGTAAGTTGTGAATTACTATCATTTAGGGAAAAACTTTTTTTGAATCTATTGAATATATACAAAAAAAGAAAGATGTTAAGAAAATTCTTAGGTTAGAGTTATTTTATATTTACTCTTAAAGCAATCAAGATTTCCAGTAACACAAATGGCAAAAACATTGTTACTTGTTCAATTTCACTGAAATTTAAAGAATAATGAATTTGAGAAGTATTATGCATTTCAGAAAAGCATTCAGCGAACAATTGATGTCAATGACTAAGAACTTGATCAATCACACCGCACGTGCGAATGATTAATATCTATCTTTGAAAAACTTGTAGACGTAATTGATCAACTAATTTAAGTATTTTCAAAAAAATCAAGAATGTCCTGAAATTGATATGGTTTGCTCGACAGTTGAGAATACATGTTGAACAACAAAAAAAACAGACAAATAAATTTGAACATGTTTTCAAGAAGAAAAAATTCTAATTAGAATGTCATAAACATCGAGCAACATTCGTCTTTGATTTAGATGTATTGATTGGAACAAATAGTTTATCATAGTGCATAATGAGCAACTTCTATTTTACATGTTGGTTAAGTGAATATAACGAATTTTTCACTTCTTGAAATGTTTACCATAAGATCTTAGAAAGAAAAACATTGGCAAGAAATTGAAACTGAATTACCATATAGATAATCATAATAAACAAAAAACAGAAAAAAAAAAACCCGTAACTTATTACGATTTACGATAGTGATGTATGTCCTTGCTGAAAATGTACTTTTACTTTTTTTTTGCCGATATATGTCTACATAATAAAGGTAAAGCACAATAGCGTACCACGTGAATAGAAACATTATTGAAAAAAAAACGCTTTTTTTCATTCATTTTTAACATCAATGGCGATAGCAATAATGTCGTCGTCTCTGATTACATTACCTACGCGATCTTTAGACTGCGTTCTGTATAATCTCGATGTCATAACTATTGTATGTTCAGTTCGTGACGTTTTTACACGAATGAATGAACTTACAGATGACTACCACTTAAATAAGGTAAATTATGAACTATTAACACTCTTGAATAATACAAATAAATTTTGTTTTTTTTTTGTTTTATTAATTATATCATTATTCATTCTTATCTTTTTATATAGCGATTCATTACAACAAACTATCAAAGGAATTTTAATAGTGATCTCGGAGCAAAACATCTGGCGGATGCAATACTACAGAACACTGTAAGACAAGTTTTCTTTTTTTTTCTCTATTTCATAATAACATTATTAACATTAAAAATAGAGACGAATAACGTTGCATATTGTCAGGAATACAATTAACAACAAGACTATGGAATCACTAATATATATGTTACAATATAATATGGTAAGAAAAACTTTTAGAATCATATATTTTTAATTTGATGATTTTTAAGCCAACACTCATCAATCATGATTGCTCATTCAATTCAATTGGCTATGAGGATAGACACTATTTGAGTATGATATTATTAACTGTCATTGTAAGACTAGTATTTTCATTTCTTTGATATATTTTACTTTATATTATTTTGTTCGATTTACATTATTTTTTATAGAAATTCATTATGTATGATTTTTATTCTAATCATATAGACTGTTATAAGTCACTATATTGGGTTAATACATTACAAATATATGTTGTGATAAATTTTCTACTCAAATATCTCGTATTTATTTTTTATCCTCCATAAAATCAATGATCACTTCAGAAATAATCAAATGTTTGTGATATAACAGTTTTCACTAGTTGTCAAATAGATTTATTTTTTAAAATTGTGATTTTTTAGTTTATAAATGTTGACGCTGATGTAAATATTAAGTAAATAAAGAACAAAGCAGAATAACAAATAGCAATATTTTATTATTGGTATTATTTGCAAATAAACGTGAAGGTTTGTGTTTTTTCCTATAGAGCAATCAATTTATAAATAATGAATACAGATCGAATGTTTAAGTAGTTGCTCCAATATGTAAAAGAAACGATAAAATGTTATCACAATTATAATTATAATTGATGAAAAATTTTGTAGAAATAAAAAATAAGACGCGAATAAAATTAACTCAATGAATTTTCTATTGGAATATGCTAATATTGCTGTCAGTGACTTATAGAATAAACTGAATGAGCTATTCAAGCATGATCGACCTATCAAAGTAGTCAAATATTGCATTAAGACATAGGTATTCAGTCTCAAACTACAACAGCTTTGCATTTTATTTCGAAACAATTTCTCAATAACAAACCTTAAGTTAATAATGAAAACTATGTACGTAGTTAATCTCTATAATGACTGTAACGGAAATAATAAACAAAATAAATCACAATGTATGTACTGTAATTTTCACTTTGCGAAAAGACATTGTGCAATTTCTTCTGATCTTGCCGTCCACTTGGCAATGCATCATATGTTATTCATTCTGCTAGTGATCGAATACTCCGACCAAGAATCACATCAGTTCCAATTGTGAATTTTATTTATAATTGAGATAAATTGTCTTTTTCTCTTTTGCTTTCCTATGTGTGATATAATCAAGTGCTGGTTCGTTTATTTTCGAAGTAATATACTATGTAGTAGAAGCTTCACTTATATTCGAACTCTAACTAAGCAATTCAATGAGATGTTTTGAACACAATACATAGTTTAGTCTGACTAAAATGCAACTGTAACAGTAATAGAAGAGGATAAAACTCACGCATTTCCATAGATGTCAGATAGTCATGGTGGAAGGAACATAACATGATTGGACTAGATACAGCCAATAGCAATTGTCATTGTACCAATGGATTTATTCTAACTCCGCCTACGACGAAGACAATCTGTTGTGCCCATGTGAGAGATGCAGAAGAAAAAACAAATGTAGATAACCATTATTACGAACTCTTAGTCCATCTAATGTCAAAAACTTTATGGATAAAATATCAACTGAAATATCAACTAGCGGTTTGGTTGCATCAACAACAACAACAATACCAACTGAAAGGCGTGCTCTTAGTGAAGTAATGCAAAGTACTAAACGTTCAGGTGGTAATTATGGTAGTTTGGCTAAATCACAATTACAACCTACATATTATATTTGTCATAAAGTTGAATCAAATGATACAATGCAAAGACTTGCATTAAAATACAGTATCAATGTGCGTAGTTTTTGTTTTTCAAAAAACAAAAAAAAAAAACATAACGAAATTATTTGTCTTTTTTTTAAGATTCAAGAAATCAAAAGAGTCAATAAATTATGGTCCGATGCTGAATTAAGTTTACTTGAAAATGTATATATTCCTGTTAATTCATCACAATTGTCAACATTACGAACATTATATCCGACATTAAATATTGTTCAAAATCCATCACCACCAACTAATAATGCGCGAAGATCAATAACAAATGCAAGTACAGATGATGAAACTACATCATCTCTTCAAACATCTGATAGTTCAACTTCTATTCCATCAACAACAACGACAATGTCTTCCTATGAAGATTATTTTTCAAAAATTGATCAACAAATACGAACATCAAAAAAACATTTACAATCATTTGATACTAATAAAACACATTCAAAGTATGAAACAAAAAAAATTAATCAATCGAATTCTTATTGTAAAATATTATTTAAAAATATTTTAGATCTTCATTAAATGAAATTTCTTCTTCATCGCCTATATCCAATAACAATAATAATAATAATAATAATAATAATAATAACAATAATGATAGTGGTGAATTAACTTCCTCTTCCAATGGTCGTACAACTATACGGAATAACGGACGACATAAAGGTATTCATCATCTATCAGATAATAGTGTATTTGTGAATATAACAGCAAACAATTCACGTGAAAAACATATTTCAGCTGCACTTGAACGAATTCGACGAGAACGAGATGATTTTGATGAATTATGAAAAAAAAAAATCGATCCGCACAAATTTCTATATGTATGTTGTCAGTAATGTGTATTTATGTTTCACTTTTATCTTTAATGAAAACCTTATTTATTGAATGCATTGATATATAATGTATTTTTTTTTGTTGAATGAACAACAATTATTGACAAAAAAGAACAAACCCAATAAATACTCTATTTACTTATTTTCTTTTTGCTTCATTTTTATGTAATTTTTCTCTTGTTGTCATATCCAATACCATAACATTTTACTTCGTTTTTTTTCGTGTTTGTCTCGCATTTAAAGTGTTTTTGAAATTAAACAAAAAAAAAAGGAAGAAACAATAAGAAAATACAAATAGAATGATTTATTTGACAAAATGGTGTGATTATAATTATTTAATTATAGATTAAGAAAAAAAAAACATCAATGTTTCGCGTATATAGCAATACACGAGTCATTTATGGTCTATGCAGAGCACTTAATAATCAAATTAGTAAACGATATCAATCATCATCATCATCAACAACAACAACAACAGCAGCAGCAAATGTTGCTTTAGAGCCAAATGTATCAAAAATGTCAATGTTTAGTGGACATATAAAAGGAGCAATTACTAATAATTTAGAATTTATTCGTCCAGAAAATATAACACCAATTTCAATGTATCAAGTTCTTGATTCTGATGGAAGTATTAAAGAGAAAAGCCATACACCGAATGTAAGTAACTGATTTATTATAATCAAATTCATTGATTTTACTTCTTTAAATATTTAAATATTAACTTATTTTTCATATACAGAGTGACTAATAAATTGAAGCTAATAATGTTAGGCTTACAACGTATCTATTTGACAGCTTCTTTATAAGTAAAAACTTTAACAAGCTCTCTATCATCGAGAAAAAAATCAGCTCGGTCGATTAAAGCAGACTGAAGATATTGAATTTTTTTATTGTCTATTTATTTATAGGTCACTCTGTATGTATACAGTGGCTACTGCTGATTTGAATAGAGAAAATTGTTTTCAGAAAGAATATCAAAACAAAAAAAAAATTATTATCAGTAAATTTCATAGAACAATAGAGTAAACAATGCTTTACGAAGCGAGATGTCTCCGAGTTCTCTGTGACATTGTTTAATTGGGATACAGCAATCATACGGAAGTCCCTAAGGTCGTTTTTTTTTGCAATTTCCTATAGAAAAAACGACTTTTTTGACCTTCAATCAAATTGCTGTATCCTTGCTAAAAATGTTGCAGAGAACTTGGAAACATTACATTTTGTAGAAGATGGTTTACTCTATCGTTCCATGTAGTCTAAACAAAATTATATTTAAGCAGTGAGTCTCTATCTTTGCGAATCTGATCATAATTTTTATTTCCTTATATTGTTGTTAGAAACCATTTTCTCTATTCGAATCATTATCTGGACTCTTTTTAACTCTTACGACAGCGAGAAAAAATTGAAAATCAACTTCATTGAATAATTTCGGTACTGACTGTATATGTGCCATGGAAAAAATTAAAATTTAGACTCATTTGAAATTCATCCTGGAATAAATTAAATTTTAATTGCCTCGCGAAAGAATTTTACATTATCCTAAATTTTGATTTTTTCGATAATATATATATATATGTATATGTGAATGTAAATTATTTATTTAGTTTACTGATGAAGATCTAATAAAAATGTATAAAGATATGACTCTACTCAATGTATTGGATCGAATATTATATGAATCACAACGACAAGGTCGTATTTCGTTTTATATGACGAATTTCGGTGAAGAAGCAACACATATTGGTAGTGCTGCTGCTCTTAATGCAAAGGATCTTGTTTATGGACAGTATCGAGAAGCTGGTAAGAGATAAGAATGATTGAATTTTTTTTTCTAAAAATAAATAAGTAATTTTTTTTTTTTGTTCTAGGTGTTCTCATGTATCGAGGTTTTAAATTACATGAATTTATTGATCAATGTTTTGGTAATGCTCGTTCATCTTGTAAAGGTGTTCAAATGCCAGTACATTATGGTTCAACCGATTTGAGTTTTGTAACCATTTCATCAACATTGGCTACACAAATGCCACAAGCTGTTGGTAGTGCATATGCATATAAAAGGTAAATGATCATTTAATTTTAATCA